CACTTCCTATTTACTCACTCGACACATACTGTACCTATATATAGTAATACGTTACCCACTTTCCCGTCTTTTTTCCTTTTATTTTGTAATGTAACAATGTTTTTTAATTGAATTCAAATATATTGTATTATTAATAATAACATATTATTTCGTGCCGAGATAAGTGAAGCAAAGAGACATTATTGGTATAATGGTATCTGACATCCGGTATTTTTGTTTTTAATTTATTTGTATTAAATTGATTCATAATAATATTCATTAAGTTATGTTATATATATATATAAATATATATATATAACATTTGCTTTATAAATTATTAAATATTCATGGATTTAATAATCAAAGTTAATACATATTAATAATATTAATTTTTTATTTACATATTATAATATGTATAAAAATGTTAACCTCTCGAAACATTTTATTTACTTTTTGTTTTATTTAAACAAAAGAATAATAGGTATCATCTGTAATATTTATATACGATAAGTAAATTGTAGAGTAAATATAACAACAACACGAATAATATGAGGAAGGAAGTCGGCCAGTGTGGAAACCCTCTGACTTGAGGGAGATGGAGTTGATGGAGAAGTTTTTTTAGTTAATTAATGCGGGTCGGAAGCCAAGAGATCTCGACGTGAGTATCTTTTTAATCGACGTCAGGAGTTATCTGGGATGAATTCACTGGTTAGTTAGATAGGTAGGTACTAGTGGGTTTGTTTAGTTGATTGATTTGGTGTGGAATTATTTTAATAGTTTTTAGCTATGATAGAGACTGTTTCAATTTTTATGTCTTTGTGTAATAAGTAATTTGAGACTTATCGTGGCGAAGATGTTATTTAGCGAAAAGAAATTACTGAAAAGCCTGGATGGTTTATTTTTGAGAAGACTTGACAGATCGGCATACTAGGATGCCAACTTAATTTACTAAAAAATAAATATATATTATTAAATTAAAATAAATTTTTTTAAATACTTATATTTATAATATGATCAAAGGTTTTAACATAAATTCAACAAATTTGAGTTGTTTGGTTATCTATAATACTATTCAGTAGGTACATATATTTATAAATTATAACCTATAGTTTATTTTTGTTAGTTGATTTATAACTTCTCTCACAAATAACACGTAAGAAATTTAGAAATATTGTTATACCGTTTATTTATATGCTATAGCATACCTAGCATTCAAAATATCAGACAATTAAATGTTGGCAAGATATTTGTATTTAAATATTTAATCATAAGTGGTGAGCAAAATATTACACACTTTTTATCAAGTAAAATTATTTTAATAAGCAATGAAAATTAGGGGGCACAGGATGGAATAAATGAGGAAGTGAAATTATTTTTTATACGTATTATGTAAAAGACAGAGAAAAATAAAGGATATTTTAACAAAAAGGATATCAATAATTACTCAAAGCTTTCGAGGATTATTTTATAAGTCTACGTATGTCTATTGAGAAGACAGAGAAAATATATTGAAAATAGGTATTTTTAATTTCATACTTTAATAATAAATTATATTTATTAGATAATATGTTAGAAATTTATTTAGACCAATGTACTACCAATAAAGCAATCGAATAATCGTAAAATTGGTTAACGGTTGATAATATTGATACAAAAACTTGGGGAAGTATATTCAAAAAATTTGCAGATTTTACATTGAAAAAAATTGTATTCTATCGTTTTACCAAATAGGTTTGTAGGAGAATATATCGTCGTAGTTACTACCAGAAAATTGCAATACATACAATATCATATTATTTTCAGTACAGTCCTCTTTCTGTTAGTAATGGTAAAATGAACAATAAAATTTGCCATGTTTAAAAATTATTACGTAAATACAACAAAATAATCGAATGAACAAAACTTTTAATAAACTGAACAACATTTCTAGTAATGTACGTTTGTTAGATAAAATCTATTTTTAGATTGAGTTTTTTAACGTATACCAACAACCAAACGATGTATAGTGAGTACAGAACATTTGCGATTTCATTACAAAAGCGTGTGGTAAAAACAACAAATAATGTTTTCCCGTAAATATATCTAAAATTATTAGATATTAGATACGTCGATAGTTTTTTACTGAGTGTGTGAGGGGGTGATAAATGCTAATTGGCAACAATAAGTTCTAAAAATTTTTTCCCGTAGACCACATGTCTATGTGACAATTTTTTTAATTTTCATGGACCCCTAATATTGAATTAATAATAACAAAATGTAATTATCTACAAAATTTTATATTTTTCTTCGATAGAAAACAATATAGATATGAAGACCATACCCTTGCTAACTGAAATAATGATAATGGAATTAATTCCAAGTGTTGGACACCGAGCTCAATTAAAATCAAATGATGACTATCCGATTTTTGCATCAATTATAAATATTTTTTTTTATGGTTTAGATAAAAATATTTTTGAAGTAAATTGTATTCTCAACTATTTGTTTTAATGAACATGTGTTTTGTTATGAGATTAAATATATACCTGATATAAAAAATAATATTTCTATCTGTAATAATTTTCAAGATTTATTAATTTCCCCAGCTAACAGTTTAAATATAGTATCTAATGGTAAACAGTATGTTACTGAAAGAAGTCCTTTTTAATTCTTTATATTATAAATTAATAGATATTTTATGCATTTTTGAATATTGTAAATTGTATTATTTTAATTTTATTATACAACTTATTAATTATCATACAATATCTATGTATTTATATTGTATTTTATCATATATTTGAAATATCTTAATTTTTTACTAATAGATTTTTTATTCTATAAATATCATTAAATTGTGTATAATTTGTATTTACTGGTGTTATATTTTTACTTACTTATTTTGTTGACTGATTGTAAATAAATACTGTACAAATATATTTTTCAATAAAAGTAAACTATTTAATATTTATTCTGAAATGTAATTTAAAATTTTCAATTTGTAAGAAAGTATGATTTATTCTTGCTAGATAATTGGTGTTTAGTAATATACTTATAATTATGTTCAAGAATCATATTATTGTCTATACAGAATTTCATTTTTTTTAAATAATAAATAGTAAATATATCATTGACTAATATAACAAATTAATTATATAATATGTTTACTATTATGACAATATCATTCATAATATCATTAAGTATAATATACTCAATGATAATAATTAATAATAGCTAGGTACCTAATAAACATGGTTGTAGTTATTTAACTAATACATACTTATTACCATATTGACTAGTAATTGTAACATAAAAATTATTTATTTATTACTAAACACACATAAAATACACTACTTTAGTTGTTTGGTAATAATATCAGAATCTTATGCGGTAAAATCATAATTTATTCTGTTACTCGTACTTACCTTACTGGTACTGATAAGTGATAATATATTGTTTAATGTTTTGTGTTAAATAATAACAATATATTATATTTATCGATGTTACCCATACAAATGGTTAGTTAATAGAACTGATCACAGTTTATTCTGATAACCAAAACTAAAAGTGATGTTAAGACAACATTTTATTAATTATTGTAAATAAAATTATTGTTGTCTCTGTGGCAACCACTTTTCATGGTCACATTAACCATATTTTGTTTCCCGTAACAAGGTTATAACGAGGGAATAAAGGTTAGGGAGTAAACGTGGGGCTAAATGGGGACGATAAGGTTTTAATAGGAATAAAATGTTAATTTCACATGATATTTTTCTAAAATTGGAGTCATATGATCTTATGTTATCTAATATAATACCACTATCAGCTAATAACAATAAAACAATTTTTCACTTAGTAAAAATTAAAAACTTAAAAAGCTCATTTTGGGGTATGTTTTATAAAATGAATAAAAATTTGACAAAACACACATTTTTTGATTTATTATTTTATTTTATTGATATACTTGAATACTTCTTATTTTATAGTACAGTTCATTATAATAAAAACAAATATCATCATCATTTTCAGAACTCGACATTGGAATTTGATTTTTTTTTTTTAACTTTTTTTCTTTTTTTTTCTTCTAATGTGTTATTTAGTGATATAGATCTTTTAATTTAAGTTTTAGAAGTTTTGTTGATTGATAGAGCCAAAAGTTCATTTTTATACGGTGATTCAGTTAAAATTGCAGTCTCCATTTTGCCCCAAACATGTACCTAAACTTCATTTTGCCCCTACGATATACTTATTCATTTAATTATTTTGGCACACGTTCTGACGATTATTAAGTATAATTTTTATGAAAATACTACTTGTATATACGTATACTGTAATTATTAATTATTAAAGTTAAAATAATTTACTTTCAAGCCGAAAAAAAATTGAAAGTAAAAATCGATGTTTTTATATCACTGTTGTCGCGGTAACACATTTTTCATGTTCTTATTAATAAGTAGTTACTCATATTATAATGTAAATTAAATAATTAAACTTTAACCACGTTTTCTCGATGAGGGAATAATTCTAAACAGCTGTTTTAAAAACTAATATTTTCATTATTTCCTTAACATTTAACCATGTTCCATGTCCCCATTTTGCCCCATGGCCCTGTTTTGCCCCACGTTCCCCTAGTTAGTTGACAAACATTAGCTGTATGCCATTTGAGCAAAATTTGTGTTATAATCTAAAAATAAAACATTAAAATAGATTATTTAATAGCCTACCAAATATTAAAGATTTAAGATATAATTAAAGATTATAATTTATAAATAATTGTGCTATTGTGCATAATATTATTTTAGTTGTTTGTTTCATCTAAATAATGCTTTCAATTTTTTATTTCATATTAAATAAAATAAAAAACATATAGGAGGAGTTTATATAAGTTTAATTATTTCCTGAAAGTTTATACTTGACCATGGAGGCTTGACCATTAAAATGTACTACGTCTGTGTATTCCTCATCATAAACAGCTTTACAGCGGCCGGTTTGGGCATTATTAGGACAACTGGTTATTGTTTGGGTGATTACGATTAAACGGAAAATAAGGTGCACGTCGTGCACTAACCGGACTGTTGCTGATTGAGCGTGATAAGAACCGAGCAACAAACTAGAACGAGAACGGAGGACGCAGAAGGAAAATTTAACAAGATCCAACACTAGGCAGATCCATCGATCAGAGAGTCAGCGGCTGATCAAAATTCCAATCACTTCATTTAAAACTGTCTCACAAAGGTCGACTACCCCAAGGCACGAGTAGGATACCCACTGACCCACGCAACGTGCTAGCACTCTCCAGGTGATCGTGATTGAAAATAAAAAGGGTAGTAGAAGAGGCTACCACATGGCGCAACTGCTCGAAAAACAAGAGGCTCCTAGAACGACGACATTAAACACAAAAGACCGAGACAAAAGGAAAACTACCTAAACCAACGCTGGCGCAAAGCACTTTAAACGAACGAAGCTGGTCCTAAGGTCATCAATATGTTGTTTTTTTTTTACATGAAACGTATAAAAATAATTTAAATGTGCACCCATAAATGCCATAACTGTAACAGTTAAAATTTAATAATATGTCATACACAATTATTTAATTAAATGATCGCAATGTCGCGGAAGTAATACGAAAATAGTTCCCGCGCCATTGTCGGTTCAAACAGGAAATAAAAAGGTAGGTATCCTAATCGATAATTTTTTTTTCGAGTTAAGGCATAAATCGAAAAAAATACTTTAACAAAAAAATGAATTCAAATATAATATAATAGTAGTAGTTATTTTTTTCATTACTCAACACATAGGTACATTATTAAATATTAATACACATCATTTAGAAGCGAGGAATCAATTTTCTAATAACTATGAATTATGCCTCTGGCCGACATAAAATAATAATTACTTAGGTAGATATTGGCTACCTACTGGTAAATATTATTTCATCTTGTTTGTTATGATATAAATATATAATATACCTACTTGTATTATATAATTCAGGAACCACTAGTGTTTTAATCGCGATTATTATAATAGTTCCACTATGGCTGACCATTCGTTTGAACCACCTTGGAGCGCTGACAATCCATTGCAGTTTGGAAATATTCCGGAAAATCCAGTAATTAGTGAAATTATATGTCAATTGGATGATTTTTTACGGCAAAGAGAAAAACTCAGTTGTCCTAACGATGAAATAGATACCAAAATATTATCAGTTATTCGATGTGCTATGGATGGTCTTAAGAATTTAATAGAACAAAATTTAACACCATTAACAGACATCCAAAAACGAGTTTTAATCAATAAATGTAGATTTATCATTAAAGATGCAATCAAAGTTATTGAAAAAACCTTGAAAATACAATCAACTTAAATTAAACATTATAAAAAAATGAATAAATATATATACCTAAAAATAAATGTTGACTTCTATAGAATAATTATATTTTTATAAATTTATTTAATTAATAGATGAACGTAGAAACAATTGAAATTTGAATCCTAAAGATTACTTGTGTATCCAATAATTTTTTATAACCCTAGTAATATTTCCTGAAAGGCTTTGGTTAAAATTAATTAATTCAATAAATAGTTAACACTATAGTAAACATTCATTAATTTTTTTTTTATGAAATTCTTTATTATTTTATTTAAATGTTTATAATTTATTTTAAACACTATTCTGTGCTAAAACCTATTTTCTGATTTCAAACATTTTTCTATTCGTATAAAATATTTATTATATTTAACTGATTCATTACATATATAATAGGTTATAATTACTTAATTACCATGTTATAGTATTATTAATTTAAATTTGTAATTAGTAAAATATTAACATACATTTTAACACTTATGACTTTAAGAATAATTAAAGTTAATACATATTTTAAATCATAGTCTAGACCTCTTTTTTACCCTAACATTTATACAATCTAAATGCAACTATATAAATATATAAATTGAATTTTAATTTTAAAACATTAAGTTAATTTTATGTTTATGAGTTTCTGCCTTAACTTATTTTAATATAATATTTGGTTTTTTAGAAAAATAAACAGTACAATTTATATGAACATGTTTGTTTTTTATTATTGAGTATTTATTTAGAAAATAATTTTAATAATATACAATAACACGGTTAATGCTTTGTTCTATTTTAATACTTGAGATCAATTTATACATTAAAATAAACGTCAAATTACAGTTAATATCATATGTAAATTAATTAACTTAGTTTTAACTTGGAAGAATAGATAATTTAACATTTAATTTAAATTAAATATAAAATAGAAGTGTACAAAAACTTAAATAAATACCATATAAAATTGATTTTTAAATACAAATGAATTTTAAGTTAATACAAAAAATATAAAGTCAGACCATTTAATTAACTATAAAATACTATCATTTGTTTTTACGTGGTCTACCTCTTTTACCTTTTGGTTGTTGTGCTCGTTTAGCCAAACATCTTGGACAATACCAAACAGCACAGTCTGGAGGACACTGGATACCGACACATACCCAATGATACCACACATCACATCCATCACAACCAATCATTGGGCTTCCATCATCGGGTTTAGTGCACATAGGACATATCCATACTTGGTTACCAGCTTCATCAAAATAGAATGCTGGAGGAGGAGTTTCTTCCACAAGAGGTATAACTGCAGGCTGAATGGGTTTTGCTACAACTTTAGTTTTAATTTTTTGAATAGGAACTTTAGGAGGAGAATCAATTTCATGTGGTATATTTACAGAAATATCTGATTTTGATTCAACATCCACTTCAACTTCCATAGGTTCAGGTTCTGAGACTATAGTTATATTTGTTTCTGGCGATTTCTCAACTGGCAAAACTTTTGTCGTAGTTTCTAATCGAGACCCAAATCTAAATTTTAGTTTTGGCACTTTATTGGTGGATTTTAATTTTTCTTTTTTCTTTTCTTTCTCTTTTACTTTTTCCTTTACTTTATCTTTTTGCTTTTTTTTTTCTTTTTTCTCTCTTTTTTTTTCTTTTTTTCTTTTTTTTTTTGTTCTTTGCGATTAATATCTTCATTTTCAACTTTTAATACTGGACTGGTTGGTTTTTCTATAATATCAGGTACATTAATTACAGGATTAATTATTTGAGGAAATGCAGTTGGTATTAATCCAGGCCCAGGAGGTAAAGGACCAAAAAAAGAAAATTTGGGTAAAACTTCTTCCATTTTTACTTTGTTACTATGAGGTGTAAGAATAACCTTTTTTGGAACTTGTACTTTTTCAGTTACATTTACGATATCAATTATTTCATCTATAACAGGTTCTGGAATAGAAGGCGGTGATTCTTGTATTAGAATTTTTTCTTCCTTTGGTTTTTTTTTCTTTTTCAATACTTCTAATTTTTGTTCTTTTGGTTGTAAAATTACATTTCGTGTTTTAGAACCTTTAGATTTCTTTTTTGTTCCTGATTTAGTTTTCTTTTTGTTAGTTAAAGTTTTTTGTGATGGTTCTTTTGTTAAACTAGGTAAAATTACAGATAGTTTGGATGTTTCAAGAGGTTTTTCAATTTTAATTTCTGGGAATGGCAATAACTTAGAGTCAGCCAATCTGCCTTCTCTAGATGGTGATAAAAAGCCACCAGATGTCATGACTACACTAGAAATCTCTCTTAATCGTTTGTGTAAAATAATTTCTTCTGGTTCTTCTTTTATATCAACAATTTTATTTTGAATTTGTTCTGTATCCGTAGTTTGCTCTTCTTCAATTTGTTCTGTATATAATGATGGAAGATGTTCATGAATATGAATAGGTCTAGTGACAGTTTCTCTACTTCCTGGCTTCAGTGTATTTAATATATTTTTTCCTGATATTTTTAATGGAGGTAAATTATGAGGAAATTTAACTGGGCCTGTACTTTTTAGATATCTACGTAATTCAATCAATGAAATAGATTTCTGACGAAAGGCTTTTTCTATGTCTTCAATATCAGGTACATCATTATATGCATGTTCAGCGTATTTTTTCGACGTTATTGACAAATCACTGATGTAGTGATGAAGAATGTCGGTCATAATTTTCATCGAAGAGTCTGTTATAGAATGCCATCCAATGTTATTACATATTTGGGCAACAGAAATTGTCAACGTTTGTCTGATGAAGTCATCCATAATGGTTTTTATAGCAATATTTATGTAATTCAAGTAAATAATTTACTTACGTGTATAATTTATTCTTTTTTGAAAGTCGAGAAACATAATGTGGCGGTTAACGCATGCAAATTTAAATATTTTATTGTCAATGTTTACATATTATTACATAAACATTTACTGTTATTTATTAACGTGATTTAAGATTCTTATCACTCCCGTCCTATCAGCTAGCGTCTATTCAGTACTGAAATTTGAACCTTGGTTGTGGTAGATATTAATAATTTTTATTCATTAAAATAATAATTATTATTTCTTTCTAGAAATTGCTATATAGACAATCAAACAAATTACACATATAAATATAATATATAGTATATACCTATAATTGCATACATATATCTGTATTCATAGACCATTGTTTCACATCAAACATTATAAAATCTAATTTGACGTTTTATGTATTTGGTTACACACAATAAAAGTTAATACACTTATACATGTATATACTATATTTTAAATATTTATCTGGTACATGCCCGCCACAGTATTATGGAGTACAGGCGGATCTACAAGATGTAAAGGACTGGTGACGAGAAGTTGAGTGTTAAACTAAGTTAATAGCTCTATATATTTAACTATAAACAGTTAAAATAATTCGTGAGGTAGTGTAGACTGTAGATTATAGTTGATAAGTTAAAAGTTAATAATAACACGTTAATTAAGATATATAAATGCTATATAGTATTAGTATATAATACACTATTTAATTAATTTGATGTTTTTTTCGTCGTCTTAAACTCTTAAACAATAATTGTGTAAAATATTATGCAATATTGGCAAGACTGGATGGTAGTCTTCTGTCGTTTGGTTTTTTGTTGTGTGACCTTATGTCGAATAGTTTTTTATCGAATGGTTTTGGAATAAGTTGAGTTTGGAAAATCAATTTGTGGTACAAAAGGTAGTGATCCTAATTTAGACACCGGTATATATTTTCATAAATACTCTGTTATCCTTATCTATATTCATGCTACCAAAATTATCAGAACATTCAGAACTAAGATTTCAGAAAAATAGAATTATTTAGTTTAAAATAAATATGTTTTAAGGTTTTAACTCTAAGGGTTTTGCAGGAATATTAAATAAACTATATTTTGAAAATAAATATGACTTCGAGAAATTTATTCACATTATTTTATCGATTTAAAAATGGTTATAAACATAAATGTAAAAGCTTAAATAACATTACTTTTTATAGTTTTTCCAGCCAGTCACATGACCGTAAGTAAAGTTTGTTAATATTTTTTAATTTATTTTACTATTTGCAATAAGACTTTGTTATAACTTGACTCAACAATTTAAGATTGAAAATAGCTTGATTATTTTATACTTATTAAGTCAAACATATAAATAATGTTAACATAATTTACTGTAGAAAATAGCTCTGACACTGACATGTGATAATATATTTATTATTGTTCCAGGAGAAATTACTAAGGAATTGAGTAATAAGTTTTTTGCTGAACCTGTACAAGATTTATTGTTTAAACTTACTCATGTTGATGTACAAATAGCATTTAGAAAGCGTTTTATTGGACAAAATCCTGACACTCCAATTTATAAATTTATGACCACTGCAGAAGTTGAAAAAGTTTGTTCTTTTTTAATAATTAAATAATTGTAATTATAAATATATATTCATAGATTTCTTAAATATTTTATTTTTTTTTAACAGATGCAAGCTGAAGTTAATATTAAAGCTAAAGAAAAAGTTCAGATGCCACCAATAGTACCATTACGTACTGATTTGGGACAAGTTTTGGAAATTAATAAGGATATTATTGGTTTTGATAGCGCCAAATTCATATTTACAGATATTACTTTTGGAATATCTGATAAAGTAATTGTTTTATTAACTTGATTCTATTTTATTTTTAGGGAGTTTTTTTTTTTAATTTAAACCTAATTAATTCACATCATAGAGACGAATAGTTGTGGTTCGAGAACCTGATGGAACACTGAGAAAAGCTAATGAGGATGAACGTCATGCTGTCAATCAAATATATTTTCCTCAATCAGGAAGAGAATTAAAACATCCTGTGATGTTTGATGATACAAATTTGAAGGTAAATTAAACATTTTTTTAAATACCATCTCTAAATTTTTTTTTTAAATGTAGCCTCTTCTTGATAATGGCGACTATGAATTCATATTGGATCGTGCATGTTGTCAATTTGAACCTGACGATAAAAATTACCACCGTGTTGTATTCAGTACTTATAAACATGTTGATGATTCTAAAAATTATCATGTTTTGGAGTCCACAAGACATTTAGGACCACTATTATTTTACTTGGCTTTTAATAAAAAGCCAGATAACTTTTTATTGTATTGTTTACAGACTGAAAGGTATTTAATGTTTAAAATTAACTATGTATTATAGTTTTTATCAATATTGAAAGAAAATATAAAATTTTAGGTTTGATGATGTTTTATTGTTTATACAATTATATACAAAGATAAATCAAGGTCTGGAAAATGAATTGGACAATTCTAAAGATCAATTTCAATTAATAGAGGTAATATTTTGTTAAAAATATGTTTATTTTTTATCTATTATAGTTTGTTAAATTATTTTGTTTTAGGATTTCATAAATACTGAATGTATTGATAAAGTAAACCTGAAAGAAGCATTAAAAAGTTATACTACAAGGAATAGTGAAATATTATCTAAATAAAATCAAGTATTAGATATATTTAATACTTTATGAAAAAAATATTTTTTATTATTGATAGAAATATTTTCCATAAAGTTAATACTTAATGGTACTGTAATGTATATACAATAAATAAATATTAGTTATCATACTTTAAAAAATAAACATAAAAATTTATTTGTAATATCAATTTTGAAATATTATTTATCTTTTGCACATCTAAATCCAAGATTTGATGCAGAACTATCTGGTGTATTTTGACTTCTTGCAGCACATCGATAGCGATAACAATACTCTTTGTGGCACAAGTAAGATCCACCTTTTTTAACCCTTTCTTTTCCATTTGAAGGACCAGCCTAAAATAATTAAAACACTTAATTTAGTATTTTTTAGATAACTATAAAATTATAATGCTATGCAATTAAACTCACTGGATTTACAGTAAATTTTTGGTCATGATGCACATTCCAAAAATCATTTGTCCATTCCCATACATTCCCTACCATGTTATAGAGACCATAACCATTTTTTGGAAATGTATTTACTGGAGCTGTAGTTGCCCAACCATCTTCAACAGTGTTTTTGAATGGAAATTCCCCTTGCCAAATATTCGTTCTAAAAAAAAAAAAAAAATTATACAATGTAATTAATCAAGCTTTATAGTTTTTGATGTTAAACTATTTATTCTATTCTAAAGTTTTTGTAATTAAATGATATATATGTTACGGGCCATGTGTACTCAAACTATATTGATTTCCCAGTTTTGCTTGGGGAATTTAAAGTACAATGGTTTTTTGATTTATTAAATATTTAATTATAGTAATATAATGACTATATTTTAGACTGAGTGAAGCAATGAATATATTGATTGTACAATGATGTTTTTTTTTTGAATAAATAGATGATAAGTTGTTGATAAAATGCTTTGATTATCGACTTTGAGGATGGTTGTGAATAGCAAACAGAATTTAGTTTGTACCTTAGAGATGTCAAAATTAACAACTCTGTGCATTTTTCTTAATAGTTGAGAAAAAAGAATAAAATAATAGAGGAATAATACAATTTTTTACACTAAACAAGATTTTGACTAAATTAATTTTTTTATTTTGTTATAGTTTACAAATTAATTACTATTGAAACTTGAAATTTTCATTAAGTATTTCTATTATCATTTTCTATATATTATGATTTATAGTACAATTTTTAAAATATTTTTACTTTTTTTGAGCTATTTATAGATAATTGAAATTTTAACTCTTTTTTATAAATGTCAATAAAATAATTATGAATGGATAAAAATATTTGAAATATTAATACATTTTTCTAATAAATGGATCATTTCATAATTGAAAAATATCAAAAGTTATAGTCAACATTTTTTTTAAAACATTTAAATTTAGAATTTTAACAAAATTCATAAAAATCTTGTGTATCAGTTTTTGTAAAAAAATACATAAACAATTTTTTTTACCTAAGTTTTTAAATTTGAATACAAGATTTCTGAATAAGATTTTCAACTTGTAGATGAAAAAAAAAAAATTCTCCTGAAAGGTCAAGTTATTTTTTTTATGAACATTTAAAGTTCAAACTTTTAACTACATTAGATATACTAGTCTAATAATATTGCTTTCAAAACAACTTTTGTTTTTTTTTTTTTTTTGCTGTAATTCATGAGCATGAGCAATTCTAATTTCTATTATCTTTTAAAAAATTTATAAATTTTAAATACTAAAAGTAAATTGTAGAGAAATTTTTGAATGCAAAGCAATGTAAATTTTCTAGATTTAAAGGAAGTTTATTAAAATTCTAACTTTAAATGCTTAAAAAAATATTAAGACTATACATTTTTAGTATTTTTTAGTTGGTAAATGAAGTAATCATGAAGTACCTTAGATTAATGTTTCTACTACTTACTCGGCAATTATGTATAGAAAATGATAATATAAATATTAGAAACATTTCAAGTATCTAAGGTTATTTAAATTACACAAAAAAAAATTAATTTTGTCAAAAATGGGATTTATGTTAAAATTACAGTATACTCTCAATTTGTTTTTAGTTTTTTCAATTATAAAAAGTGCTGCAAACTTTTTATAAATGACTCTTAAAGAATTATTTAGTTCAAATTTTCTACTAGAAACTTCTCTTGTTATTGAAAATCAAACCATTTTTTATGTTTTAAAAAGCAAAACAGAAAAAAAAATTATAAAAAAAAAAAACGCTTATGATTGTAAAATCAATAGACTCATTGTTCTTCTCAGAATCTAAAAGCAAACAATAATTTATTTTTTAAATTGGTATTTAAATGAAATGATAATTTGATATTATTGTTTTTATAATAAGTCACAATACAGATTTTTCATGGGCAAAATATAACTTAACAATACAATGTATTACCATGCCTGGATAAAATAGTGTTTTAATAAATTGTACAAAACCATTAGCTAATACGTTGGCTATGCCCGTTACATATATGATATAATTGATTTATACATCACTGTACTTTGTAGAAATACTTACCGATTAATTCTCATTTTATCAAATTTTTACAATTTTTTATTGTAATATTTTTTGTATTAAGATATTTGAATTATTATTCATTAGGCTTTATATTGATAAATACTTAATAATATGAATTTGATTTAATAACACTCTGCCACTGTGAGTACCTAATAGGTTTTAATTTAAAGTGAATTAAAATTATTTATTTAACTTTATTAACTTTAAATAAATCACTAATATTAAATAATAATAAATTACCTATGGTTATTATTTGGAAGAAGCTTATTTCCCCAAGGATAGAGTCTATCTTTGAGATTTCCCCTACAAGCAACTTCCCATTCAGCTTCGGATGGTAACCTTTTTCCAGCCCAGTTACAAAATTTTTGGGCATCATTCCAGCTAACGTGAACAACTGGATGTAATTCTCTGTCTAAAACATGAATATAATTATTATTTAGCTTATAACAAAGCATATATAATTATCATAAATACATATCGCCGTATTACCACTTATATCAGAATCTATCCCTTCAGGATGTTTCCAGTTAGCACCTTTGACTGGTACCCACCATGGAGCATCCTTGACAGCTTGTGTTATAGATTTTAACGTAGTTTTACTGAGAAATAATTGAAATACAAATGAATCTCCAAATACCTCTGCTTCAGTCTGGTATCCACTTGTATCAACAAACTTTTTAAATTCTAAATTGCTCACTTCATATTTATCAATAAAATAATCATCTAGATACACAGTACGGGATGGTGATTCTCCATCAGCTATGATTTCTGGTTTATCAGTACCAATTGTAAAATTCTGTCCTTTGATTAAAACCATAGATTCTAATTCTGATTTTAATGTATTCGACTGATCTTTTGCTGATGATGTGCAAACATTTTCCTCTTTAGTGTTTGTCTTAATGCGATTTGTATTACATCCACAATCTGAACTAGAAGATGTAATCCTCATAATTATAGTAATAATATAAAATAATTTCATTTTTATGTTTTCATAAATCAACAGGTATGTTTAATTAAAAACGATTCTAATTTTGAGTTGTGACCATATTAAGCAGTACACAAATTTCAAATAAAAATATTTCTACCTATTTTTTATTTAAACCAAACCATGAGTAGCTATTTTGAACTAGAAATTTAAATAAATCATTATTTGACTGAATCAAGTTTAATTTTAATTTTTGATAAAATATCTAAAACTAGTAACTCTGTAAGTTTAAAATTAAAATTATATTTTTTTTTTAATATTGTTATCAATTACCTAAAATTATAAAAATTAAAAAAGCGGGGCGTGCGTGAATAGATAGTAAATAATAACAATAGATAAAAAAAATATAATTTCAAATTTGTTATCTATGTAACTATGGTTATAGGCACGGCTATAGACTACAAAGTACAAAGCCTTTTGTTCACAGTACACGAAGAATATAATATTTATTATTTAATTGATGACCAATTTTATTTTACCAGCGGTAGTACCGTAAATCTAAAACGATCACAGGATTATAAATTTATGTGACTTAGTCACTTGTTGATCATTTATGTAATCATTTTATCATCTGCTGTGTATGAACATTTTTCAAACAGAATGTTAAGTAAATAGCAACGATGTATACTATTACTCTGTGACCACATGATGCGACATACATAAATATCTTATAATAAAATTATTGACTATTGTGAATGGAAATTGGAATTACTCAAAAGTCAGAATATGATGTGATAATTACTGGTAACGGTGTCTTCATCCCATAGATAATAAAGATATTGTAGTGCCGTAGTGGCCAGTGGGCCTTTATTATCTATGCTTCATTCATATTATTATCTGTGTTGGTAAAATGACCAATTGTCTTCCATGTGAAATGAAATAAATACCACCATTAAGTTTATGTTGCCTAACCTCAAAAAATAATAATAATGCTATTTGGTTGTTAACATTTTTGGCGGTAAAATATTAGTTCATTGTTGTTTCAATATTATTTATTATGTCTTCGCCTTTATTTCATTAAGCTTTTTCCGTGGCGTTCATTTCATTAGTCGTTACTCGTTTTATACGATCTCTTAATACGTTTCAAATAAATCGGTATGTCGGCTACGTTTTCATCGCTCTTATTTGTTCTGAAGTTATAATATCCAATGAATAATATTTGTCAATAATCACATTAACCGAGTCTTAATTATTCTGAAGCACCGGACGGCTGAAATAGAAAACACAAATTGATTTTACCTATCCAAATTTTAATTTATACTCAGTGTAAGTTTTGTGTTTCCAGAAAATAAATAGTATTTTAAACGTAAGTACGCTTTATTGTTTTTATTTAAAATAAAATTAATATAGGTAATTTAGATATTAATTATGTAAGCATTTATATGAAAATGCGTATGAATATATTATGTGTATGAGTATGCACATTGTTAGTCAAAACGCCTTAATAAAATATTTTGTAGTCATGATTAGATAATAGTTATAAATTACAATTATTTTGAGTTAGTACTTAACTCAAAT